AGAGAGAGAGAGAGAGAGAGAGAGAGAGAGAGAGAGAGAGAGAGAGAGAGAGAGAGAGAGAGACAGAGAGAGAGAGAGATTGAAACAAAAAAATTCCCACGAGAAATAAAAGTTAAAAAAATATTCTATAAAAAAAAAATCCTTCATCCTACCCCTTCAACAGCATTGGGCGTGGGGGGGAGGTCGATGGTCCGCTGCGCGCCGAAATCGGGTCAAAGTTTCAGTGCGGGCCGGTAGATGAAGGCGATTGAGGGCGGGTGGGCATGCAGAAGACGCGTGGGTCGAAATTTTGGGAGAGCGCGCCTGTGGGGCCGCACGGGGCCGGGTAGACGGCGGGCGTTGATGCGAATGAATATCTCGATGCGCCTGCCTTCGATAACGGGGTAGGGAGAATTTTGTTTTTCTTTCTCTTTTTTTACCGTCATTTTTCGCTTTTTTTTATTATTATTATTATTTTTTTTCCCCGTTTCCGTTCACAGTTTTGTCGTTTCCCGCTGCGGCATCCTTTTTTTTCCCTTTCGTTTACGCCGTTTTCTCCTGCCGCGGTATTTTTCTTTTCTTTTGTTTTTGTTGTTTCCCTCTTTCACAATTTTTTTTTTCTTTTTTTTTCGTCGTTTCCCACTTCCGTGGACTTTTTTATACCTTTTGTTTTCGTCATGGGTTTTTCTATTTTTTGTTGGAAACCAAGCGTTCGTCGTTCCCCTAGTTTTTTAGGCGTTGGTCGTTCCCCTTCCTCTCAGTTTCATCACTTTCCGGAAAAGGCATGGGGGCGGGTGCATGCACCTGCTTGCGTGCCACCCAACCACCGACCATCCCACCTAGATACACACACCTACCTGCCTGCCTGCCAGCCCGCCACCCACCCCCCCGCCCACACACATACACCTGCCTGCTTGCCGCCCACTTGCCCGCCCGCCCGCCCGTCCACCCGTCCGCCTGTTTGCTTGCCACCCACCCACCTCGCCCTCTCCCCCCCTCCCCACACAGACAAAAATATTGTTATTAATATTATATAAAGCTCGCTGCTAATTGTTGTTGTTGGGGTTTGAACCCACGCACATATTTGAGATACGCAATTGCCTTCTCTGATACTACTCAGGTGAGTTGGGTCCCTGTGTGGTTTTTTGGGACTGTTTTTTTATGAAGTGTATCGTACGTAAGGTAGCTAGCAGATCAGGATGTGCCTGTGTGTCCAAACCCTAACGTTGCACAGCGTGGCAGGCGGGTCCAGTCCCACAGTTTTCTAGTCCCAACTTTGGCGATTTTTTGCTCTCAGAAGTGCTGAAGATAATAGCTGAAAAATAGAGATCGTGTAGATTAGGTTGTGATCTTTCCAAAAAAATATTAAAAAAAAAAAAAAAAAAAAAAAGATCGTGAAATAAATGTCGCGCCGTTTCGTTGCAGTTTTCATTTTTGCCATTCTGGCATATGTTGGCCAACGGGAAAATACCCCAACTTCCACAATTTTTTGCGTTAGAAGGATGATTCCACAACTCCGCAAATTGAAGGGCCTATAGTTTGGGTCGTGATATTTCCACGAAACGTAATATATATATATATATATATATATATATATATATATATATATATATATATATATATATATATATATATATATATATATATATATATATATATATAT